AGACTTACCTCAATTTTGATTTCCCTAGTATACATATAAAACTCTGTTGGATCCTTCCTGAAACATGACCTAGAATCATATCTTTATTATCTAAACCAACCCGGAGCATGCCATTTTGAAATGGTTCAGTAATTAACCCTTCGATAATTACATATCCGATTTGACCTATAGACGAATAAGAACCCTCCAATAAATCTATTGAAATTGGCTCTATATCAATGGAATCTCATCATCTATACATACGAATTGGTATGGTATATTCATATCATAACATATAAACATGTATACTTTTATTTCTTTTTGTATGCACCATCTACATGAATGAACATTAAATCCAAAAAATTACTCTCTAAAATAAAGGAAAGCAACCAACACATGAATGAGCTAGAAGATCAACTATACCGTGTTCCACATGGATGCAAGCCCGAAATGTAATTTTACAAAATTCAAAGCTTCTAAAGTTCAATAACCAAAATATTCTATAAAAAAAGAGCTCAGGATCCAAGAGATTCTTATTTGATAGTATCAGTTGCACCATGTGTATCCAAGATCAAGAGCGAATGAAATAGTAATTCTTGGAAAGAAAGGATAACATAACAAATAAGCAAATAATGTGAGTACAAAGATGCAGGATGCAATAACATAAAGTGAATGCAATCCAATAAGAAAAGTATAGATAGATATTAGTGATTGAAACAATTAGATACCTGTTATATGACATCTCCGAGAGCAGGCTTCTTCCCTTTTTAAGAAAGCATGAACACCTTGGTCAAGCAACATTCATAGAAAGGAAATGCGATATAACATATGCATATATATCCTCATTTCAAACGCAAGAACCATCATTTTTGACTGACAGGAAATCAGACAGCATGGTTGATTTCCAATTGTAGAACCCACTAGTGATACTCAAATCAGCAGGAAAGATGGAGATATGGTTTGGCACTATTCAAATACAAAGAAAAAAAAAACCCTCCCTGCATTCTAGCTGTATAAACCCCCAGCGGAAATACAGTAATTTTGACTCCTCAACCTTTTTTTATCTGAAAAAACAAAACGTGAATTAAACACCATATACTATATATATGTATATATATGAATCTAGAGAGAGAGAGAGAGAGAGAGAGAGAGAGAGAGAAAGAGGAGAGGGATGCAAAAGGAATGAACTATTGCCTACACCTGCTTAGATTAAACTCATCTCCATTGTTTTTTGCTTTTTTCTCCTTTTTTAACTTTTTACATTAAATCATCCTGTATTTGTATATGAATATTGCTCTTCATGAGAAAATTTCTCTTTCATTCCTCCGTCTTTCCAAGGAACAAATGAAAAAGCTGCAACAGAAATCATTCCAAAACTGATTGTGAT